GACTTCAGACAAATGCTACCAGACGGATTAGAATCAATATTCTAAGTCATGTTGCAAAATCATTACAAGCGGTTATAGAAAAGAGATTTTAGAAGCTTGGAGCAGTTAATTTTAACCTGAAAAGCACACTCTTGGTCCATTGTCCAAGCAAAACCCAATATTTGTACAATTCAAAAATGTACAGCTAAGATACTAAAAAATCTGGACATAAAATCTTGTAAATGAAGCTGGAAAAAATTTTAAAAGGGAGAAAAAGTAAGAAGAGATGCCCAACAATTCCTGTAAATTTGTGATACTGTTTGAAACCCATTTTGGCATTTCAAACATGTACAGTTGAGATACTAATACATGTGGGCATAAAATGTTTTAAATAAAGCAGGAAAAATATCACAAATAGGTGAAAAAGTATGAAGAGATACACAATAATTCCTGCAAATTTGTGATACTGTTTGAAACCCATTTTGGTATTAAAAAAAAAGGAAAAGCAATTAAGATACTAAAAAGTCTAGGCCTAACTTTTGAAAATGAAGAGAAAAAAAATACAAATGGGAGAAAAAGTTTGAAGAGATGCATTGTAATTCCTTCAAATTTGTGATACTGTTTGAAACCCATTTTTTCAATTCATCATAGACAGCTAAGATACTAAAAATCTGGACATGAAATCTTGTAAAAGAAGGGGGCAAATTACAAATAGAAGAAAAAGTACAAAGAGCTGCAAACTTATTCCTGCAAATTTGTGATACTGTTTGTAAAACATTTTGGCAATTGAAAAATACAGGCCTACAGCTAAGATACTAAAAAAATAGGGACATAAAATCTTGTATACGAAGCGAAAATTATCACAATTTGGAAAAAAAAGTATGGTGAGATATACAGTAATTCCTTCATATTTGTGATACTGTTTTAAACCCATTTTTGCTCATTAAAAATGTACAGCTAAGATACCCAAAAATCTGGACATAAAATCTTGTAAAATTATTCTTGCAAATTTGTGATAGGCTATACTGTTTGAAAGCCATTTTGGCAATTCAAAAATGTACAGCTAAGACACTACAAATCTGGACATAAAATCTTGTAAAATTATTCTTGCAAATTCGTGATACTGTTTGAAATCCATTTTGGCAAATTCAAAAAGTTAAAATTCCAAAAGAAATGGACAATGAAGTCTTGAAAATGAAGGGGAAAAATACAAAATAATGGGAAATCATGTATGATGAGATTTACACTATTTGCTGCAAATTTGGGGTACTGTTTGAAACCAATTTTGGCAATTCAAAACTTTACTGCTAAGATACCAGAAAACAATCTAAATGAAAGTGAGAGAATGAAGAAATGCACACTGATTTTCTGCAAATTTTTAAAACTTTTGTCAAGCTTTCACTTACCTCAAGAAATTGTTTTTGACTTACCAATGTCGAGTCTCACTTTTCCTTAAGCACAAACCTTCATCCTCGCTCAGATCATCCGACAACATCCAGCACATAAAATTCCACATTGTTCGTCAAATAATTCCATGAAACTTGCATTTCAGGTGCTTCAGAGTTTCAGTTCAGAGTTCAATTCATGTATTCAAAAAAAATAGTTTTAGTTCTTCAAGTTTCGTCGCCCTTGAGTTCATGTGAGTTACTTTGTTGCAGGAAAATAAAATCAGCTAAAGTTTTGTGTTCCATTATAAAATTTGCTCACAGAAATTTTCACCAACGGAGGTCTGGGCAGCCCCGGTACGTGGAACTGGGAGTGCTTCGAATTCCAAGGGGGCAGACGCAGCGTTGAAACCCATACAGCCGTGGTTCATCTTCCAAAATGTTCGATAAAAGTTCAGTAAAAGTTTCGTTGGTTCATTTTCCAAAAATTGTTTAATAAAAGTTCAGTTACTAGTTTCTTGTTCCAGATTAAATTTCACTCACGATAATTCCAAAACGATGATGGACAGAAGCCAGGAAACTGGGAAGCCGGGAAAACAAAAAGTGGAGTGAAGCGAAGAGCAGTGAATTCCGAAGTCCAGCAGCGGCAGCAGGAAAAGCCGTCGTGCGGCCCGGGGCCAGAGCCCGGGGCCCGGGGCCCATCCGCCGGCAGCTGTAACGCTGACACGTCGACCGGAGAGCTGCAAGCCCGCCTCATTCGAAGACACATTTTGGAACGCGATATTTCCAAAGAAACGCCTCACAGAAGTCCACGCCTCAATGACTACGTATGACAGACATTGTTCCCTTCGAGTTAGATGCATTTGTACTTTTGTACATTCATAACATCCGCTTAAAATGTCATTTTTGGTGGACAATAGTCGAGTCTAACCATTCACTCCGAATTTTCGAGGACTACTAAATGTAGCTCGCTCGCGCTCAATCCAGAAAAAGCAGACGGCGAGTCTGAGTGACAAGGCTTGGTACGTATTTCAAATGGAAATCTTGAGACTTCAAGATGTGTTAACACGCGGCCGGATTTTTTTCCACAATCAGAAAAAAATTCGAAACTAAGCACTTGAACATTTTTTTTAACTCATTTTAAAAATCTATATTACTGCATTGGCAAAATTAAATCGTTTTTTTGCTTTTGACAAGAAAATAATCGTCGTATTTGATAACTAAAACTGTCCGACCTATTTTTTTATAACGAGGAGAGATATCGAGATGACACCACCTGGATTGGGAACGCACTACGCGCTGGAGTGACTGCTATTGGTCAGAAGTGGAACAATAACAATTTTGATTGGCCGACGGGCACTGTACATGTTTACATTAGATTTTCGATAACACGGCTACGTTTCCGGCTTCGGCTTCATGCACATCGGTCGCTGGCTTTAAAATCGTTGAGAAGCCTTTAATATACAGACGAAATGGAATGTTCTTAGTTATTTATATGGCCTCCTAATAATTTTAAGACGTTGTGATGCTGGAGTTAGCAATTGATCAATATTAAGCATGGAGTCCCCTCAAGTGAAGGGTCTAACAACTATAGACTGAAACCGATCCGGAATTTGAATCAACGTTTTAAAAAGGCCTTATGAGGGGCCTTTGGTGAATGTTTGGGACGGATCCAGTTTTGGATCAAGACAGAGATTTAGCTAACAACGGGGGGGGGGGGGGGGGGGAACAGGCATTTTCTGTTTGTGGGTGCGTGGGGGGTATGGTTTTCCTTCGGGGAGGGATGTGGCCCAGTAGGGGGTGGTTAAACCTATACTCCCACCCAATATTAAACCCCATGTGCTACGAGAGCTTTTTGTCTGGCGTATCAAGGTTCGCGTCCATGGAACAGGGAGAAATTACGATTTTTTTTTAATAAAAAGTAACACCAACTTTTCCCCCTCCTTCTCAACTAAAAATTAAAGGTAACCTTTCCAGCTTGTCCAACCGATAGTACTCAAAGAACGTTAACAATTAAGGGTCTACCTACTGACTTCTGAGGCAGATTCAGCCATCAGACAGGAAATAAAATTTGACTGATTATCAACAAATCAGACCACCACGACGGGTTTGAGCAGCGAAGTGTGTTTCAATATATTCGAAATAAGGGAATTCATTTTCAATCATTGAATTCAATTGTCTGGTCCTTAATTTTATTGGATGATAAAAGTGACACTTTTCATCAAATCACAAGTTATTGTTAAAAATCAATAATTTCTTAATATTGATTGCATTTTTTTTAATTTCCCCTTAATTATCCGCATTTAAGCAAGGGCGGATCCAGGGGAGGGGGCAACGAGGGCCATGCCCCCCCCCCCCCCCAAAAGAGCCCTTTTTTGTTAAGTGGCGTCGCAATAAAGGCAGGCAGTGCGTACACCACCCTCTTTTCCACACACAAAAAATGGTTAAAATGGTCAGAAATTGCCTCCCAGTCAGATCGCACCACAGAGCATCTAGAATCCAATAATTTGGGGCCCTTAAGCGGTCCTCGAACCCCTCACCGTATTAATTTTTGGACCCACTTTTTGGGGACCAAATTTTTTTGCCCCCCCCCCCTCCAAAAAAAATTGTGTGCTGGATCCGCCCCTGCATAGGTTTTTGGTTACTCTATAAACATTATTCTAAAGGTACAATAAAATTCACACTAACTTCCTTAAAAAAGAATAATAAATCATACATTTATATTGCGCAAATTAGCTCTAAGAATATGATGAAATGCGCATCACAATTATTATCTACTCATTAACTGATTTTTTTACTTTTATCTCGTTTGTGAATCCTAATTTGTGATTAATTTATGCAAAAAATATTGTTTGAGGAATTTCCCTGTCCCATTAGCTGTATTTGTAAATTATTATCATCAACCCATCCACCCAAACCGAGACTAAATCGCACACCTGCGCGTTACTTTTGATGAAATGCGCATCACGATTATTATCCCTCGGGAATGAGACCTTGCAGCAGCTCGAGATCCGGGCTCTATCAATTTCTTTCAACTGCGAAAAAAAGAAGTTTAAGTACGAGTTTATCAAGTTGGCTAACATGCAATTTTACCTGCATTTTGGCTCCTATTGTTACACTTCAAATTATACTCCTACGCACAAACAAACCTTTTCTATCTAAGCCATCAAACTGCTTGCAATTAATGGTGGGTACTTTATTTGCATCACGACGGTAAATTTGACTATATAAAAAAGTATTTAACTTTCTCATTATAATCTAATTTACTGACAAGCGTTATGGATACGTGCTCCTGTGCTATTTTTGAGAAAATGGCCAAAACAGTACTAAGCAAAAGCTACTCATTCATTGATTTTCTTACTTATATCTTGTTTGTGAATCCTAATTTGTGATTAATTTATGCAAAAAAAAACATGTTTGAGGAATTTTCCTGTCCCACAAGCTGCATTTGTAAATTATTATCATCAACCCATCAACCCAAACCGAGGCTAAATTGCATACCTGCGCGTTACTTTGGTAACTCTACAAAAATATTTTAAAAGCACACGAAACGTTAACGTATGTTTACGTCAGAAGAGATTCAGAAAACTGATCCCATCTCCAGCCAATATTGGTGGCATTTCAATTTTCTTTTCCACTTAAAACGTCGCTTCAGGTGGTCGCACAGCCAACCAGGCTGCGATCTTGGGGTTGGCAGCGATGCGGCTCTTGAGGGCGACCAGCTTCGGAAACTTCTCCAGGGAGTTGGCGCCCTTTGACACGACATCCACAAAATCAGCAGCGGCGAAGAAAAAAAGATCGGCGACCGAGATCTGCAATGACAAAACAGGGAAAATGCAGTTTCTAAGATAGTCCAAGGATGCGCGAGAAATCGCGTGGAGGAAGCTGCAAAGGATTGTGGGAGAATGTGTTGCTGAGGATTGTGGAACATATTGTGATGTTATTTTTCCAGGGGAATATCCTTCCAATGACATTTTTTAAATTCATATGTTATGGGAATGATCTAAAAAATACTTCACACTAATATACAGTCTCCGCCCCCCCCCCCTTTCTACGAGTTATAATAACATTTAAAATTACTTTAAAAAAATAATAATGTTAGTACAATGTAATTAATTGCCAGATCAAAAACTGTACAATTTTACTCCACGACTCTTAAGGTTAAAAGGAATGACTTTGTATGATCGTTAAGTTGGCTAAAATAATTACCGAGTTTCCGACGAAGAAATCCCCGGCGTGCTTCTGGCCGATTAAACGCTCAAGACACGCGTAGATCGACGGGACCCACTCCTTCAAGAACTTCTCCACTCTTTCTGGCTGGGGTTGGAAAAAAATAGTTTGGCAAGGTTGTTTCAATCCGTTTCTAGTGGTCTATTTTCAAAGAAGTGTTGGAAGGGCGCCACTATGAGGTATAATCGCGAAAATTCTACTTCGCAGTGCATTATGGGGAAATCGAAATTCGTATGTTGGGTCTTATATACTGCATCCATTCTCCAGTAGTGGAAACCTTTTTTGACACACTTCACTTAAAGTTGGAATGTTTCAGTGAAAAACGATGTATTTTCAAGGCTTCAGATTGAATTCGGGTTTTTGTGGTGGTACACGGACAGACGATTAGTCCATACTTATCAGAGGCTTTCCCACACACAATTGTTTATGATACTGTTTTTACCTCCATAGACTGGCTTCAAATACCTTGCTTTCTTTGGGCCCTTGGAAGACATGGTTGACTTCCGACCAGATGTCCTCCACGGCGTCAATTGCTTGGTCTATGAATGCTGCATCAAGGGACGTCTTGCCATAAAATCCTTAAGAAAATGGATCAAAATGGATCCTAAGTTGAGAATCATTATGACCCAATAAGGTTCAGCACAAATGTATTTTCTGTGTGTTTTTCGGTCCCCTTTAAGGCATATTTACGCAAAATAAAGGAAATGTCTAAGATTGCATGTTCGGTAAAGTTCATTGCGTTATTGCCTAGTAGCCTAATCTTGACTAAAATCGATGATAATGTTCTCATTAAAAATGTCAAACTTTCTCATGACTCACCAAACTCCCTTGCCAGATATCTCAGGCCAGCCTTACTCTGACATATCATCGTCCCGTCGACCTCCAGCGACGGCGTTTCCTGGGTAACATAGTCTGATCAACAAAACAAAAACATTTGTAACTAACTAATGAGCTAACTAATAAACAATGCTATTGAGTTAAAGGATTACAGTAAAAGGCAGATACTGGTTTTATCTTTCATAATTTCTGTTCGTTTTGTTGGGCCTGATTGGTTCTGCCCAAACTTGCCCCTTTATAATATGTCCGAAATGTGATGATTTTGACGAAGAAAATGATTTTAATGGCGGAATAACTCACTCGGCTTTAGCTTAGGCCAATCCGCCCCCTCGAAGTTCTTTTCTTCATAGTCGACCCCAGCTAGCTTGAAAGCCAGACGGATACTTTCTGCACGGCCGTTAACACCCTTGAAGTAGTGAAGTACGTATTTCACCATGGTGGCGTGGAAGCTATTTATATTAGACCCTTGTTAAAATTCGGCTCCAGAAGACACCTTTTAACAGCACTACCTTCTACGCCCAAAACTACAGTGACGATTTGTCGAGCAGTATCGATAAATGGAAAATTGCAAGTCATATTTGCTATTGATTTATCTCAAAAAGGGTCAAGGTCTAATAAAAAAAAAAACAAAGTCAACAAGCCTTAGACGGTAAATACGTAGTTGAAGATAAGTGTAAGGTATCAAAGGTAGATTCAAAAGACTGTAGACCGTAAAAAGCGGAATTTTAGTGCCTAATGACCTAGTGACATTCTAGCAAACGAAATGTCAAACCGATGTGTTTATCTATAGGTGACGCCATCGTCGAATATCAGAGTTATACTCTACCACTAATTCACACTCAAATCACAGAAATAACAAATTTAAGTCAGTCATGTTGGGAAGCTAGCGCCCACTCGGACTCCCTTCTACAATAATTGTCAAAAGCATGCAGTTTGTCATAGTTTGTGCTTCATTGGCAGGTTCGACATAAGGAGTAAGTTCACTGCACCAATTCTCCAGTTAGAGAAATAACCTTTAAAATAAATTCCACCTCAGAATATTGTATTTTACCTAAAAATAGGATTTTGTCGCTGCGGTTGAAAAGGGTTCAAGTTAGTTTTGACACCTCATTTTGAGAATGTTGGAGGACTTGGTTATAACAAACTTTCAAAATCTTACTCAACGCATTTGATGTATCGTACGCTAAATTTGCGTTCAAAATTACATGCAACTACAAAAATGTTAACCTTTTTTAACCTTTAGCTTTTTTTATTCTAAAGTTAAACTCCAAAATTATATTAAAATGGTCAGAAATTACCTCCAAGTCAGATCGCACCACAGAGCATCTAGAATCCAATAATTTGGGGGCCCTTAAGCGGTCCCCAAACCCCTCGCCGTATTAATTTTTGGACCCACTTTTTGGGGACCAAAATGTTTTTGCCCCCCTCCCCCCAAAAAAATTGTGTGCTGGATCCGCCCTTGCATTTAAGTTTTTGGTAACTCCATAAACATTATTTTAAAGGTATACAATATAATTCACACTGACTTCCTTAAAAAAGAATAATAATTCATACATTTATATTGCGCAAATTCGATAAGAATATGATGAAATGCGCATTACAATTATTATCCCTCGGGAATGAGACCTTGCAGCAGCTCGAGATCCAGGCTCTATCAATTTCTTTTAACTGCGAAAAAAAGGAAGTTTTAGTACGAGTTCATCAAGTTGGCTGAACATGCAATTTTACCTGCATTTTGGCTCCTCTTGTTACACTTCAAATTATACTCCTACGCACAAGCAAACCTTTTCTATCTTAGCCATCAAACTGCTTGCAATTAATGGTGGGTACTTTATTTGCATCACGACGGTAAATTTGACTCTATAAAAAAAAGTATTTAACTTTCTCATTTTAATCTAATTTACTGACAAGCGTTATGGATAAGTGCTCCTAGGCCATTTTTGAGAAAATGACCAAAACATACTAAGCAACAGCTACTCATTAATTGATTTTCTTACTTTTATCTCGTTTGTGAATCCTAATTTCTGATTAATTTATGAAAACAAATCTTGTTCGAGGAATATCCCTGTCCCATTAGCTGTATTTGTAAATTATTATCATCAACTCATCAACCCAAACCGAGGCTGAATCGCACACCTGCGCGTTACTTTGGTAACTCTAAAAACATATTTTAAAAGCACACGAAACGTCAACGTATGTTTACGACAGAAGAGATTCAGAAAACTGATCCCATCTCCAGCCAATATTGGTGGCATTTCAATATTCTTTTCCACTTAAAACGTCGCTTCAGGTGGTCGCACAGCCAACCAGGCTGCGATCTTGGGGTTGGCAGCAATGCGGCTCTTGAGGGCGACCAGCTTCGGAAACTTCTCCAGGGAGTTGGCGCCCTTTGACACGACATCCACAAAATCAACAGCGGTGAAGAAAAAAAGATCGGCGATCGAGATCTGCAATGATAAAAAAGGGGAAATGCAGTTTCTAAGATAGTCCAGCGATGCGCGAGAAATCGCGTGGAGGAAGCTGCAAAGGATTGTGGGGGAATGTGTTGCTGAGGATTGTGGGACATCCTGTGACGTTATTTTTCCAGAGAAATATCCTTTCAATGACATTTTTCAAAATTCATATGATTTGAGAATAATAAAAAAAAATACTTCACACAAAAATACAGTCTCCATGTTAGTACAATGTAAGTAATTGCCAGCTCAACAACTGTAAAATTTTACTCCACGACTCTTAAGGTTAAAATGAAAGACTTTGTAGGATTGTTAAGATGGCTAAATTACCGAGTTTCCGACGAAGAAGTCCCCGGCGTGGTTCTGGCCGATTAAACGCTCAAGACACGCGTAGATCGACGGGACCCACTCCTTCAAGAACTTATCCAATCTTTCTGGCTGGGGTTAGAAAAAAAATCGTTTGGTAAGGTTGTTTCAATCCGTTTCTAGTGGTCTATTTTCAATATAGTCTTGGAAGGGCGCCACTATGAGGTTATCACGAAAATTCTACTTCGCAGTGCATTATGGGGGAATCGAAATTGTTTTGTTGGCGCCCCTAAACTGCATCCGTTCTCCAGTAATGGAAACTTATTTTGACACACTTTACTTAAAGTTGGAAGGTTTCAGTAGAAAAACGATGAATTTTGAAGGCTTCATATTGAATTTGGGTTTTTGTGGTGGTACACGGACACACGATTATAGTTCATGCTTTCCCACTCATTGTGTATACATGTACATGTACTGTTTTTACCTCCATACACTGGCTTCATATATAACCCACCTTGCTTTCTTGAGGCCCATGGAAGACATGGTTGGCTTCCGACCAGATGTCCTCCACCGTGTCAAGTGCTTGGTCTATGAATGCTGCATCAAGAGACGTCTTGCCATAAAATCCTTAAGACAATGGATCAAAATGGATCCTAAGTTGAGAATCATTATGACCCAATAAGGCTCAGCAAAAATGTATTTTCTGTGTCTTTTTCGGTCCCCTTCAAGGCATATTTATACGCAAAATGAAGGAAATGTCTACGATAACATGTTCGGTAAAGTTCATTGCGTTATTGGCTAGTAGCCTAAATCTTGACTAAAAATCGATGATAATGTTCTCATTAAAAATTTCAAACCTTCTCATAACTCACCGAATTCCCTGGCCAGATATCTCAGGAGAGCCTTACTCTGACATATCATCTGCCCGTCGACCTCCAGCGACGGCGTTTCCTGGGTAACATAGTCTGATCAACAAAACAAAAGCATTTGTAACTAACTAATGAGCTAACTAATCAACAATGCTATTGAGTTAAAGGATTACAGTAAAAGGCAGATAGTGGTTTTATCTTTCATAATTTCTGTTCGTTTTGTTGGGCCTGATTGGTTCTGCCCAAACTTGCCCCTTTATAATATGTCCGAAATGTGATGATTTGACGAAGAAAATGATTTTAATGGCGGAATAACTCACTTGGCTTTAGCTTAGGCCAATCCGCCCTCTCGAAGTTCTTTTCTTCATAGTCGACACCAGCTAGTTTGAAAGCCAGACGGATACTTTCAGCACGGCTGTTAACACCCTTGAAGTAGTGAAGTACGTATTTCACCATGGTGGCGTGGAAGCTATTTATACTAGACCCTTGTTAAAATTGCGGCTCCCGAAGACACCTTTTTTTAGCAGCACTACCTTCTACGCCCAAAACTACAGTGACGATTTGTCGAGCAGTATCGATAAATGGAAAATTGTAAGTCATATTTGCTATTGATTTATCTCAAAAAGGGTCAACGTCTAATAAAAAAAAACCAAGTCAACAAGCCTTAGACAGTAAATACGTAGTTGTAGATAAGTGTAAGGTATCAGAGGTAGATTCAAAAGACTGTAGACCGTAAAAAGCGGACTTTTAGTGCCTAATGACCTAGTGACATTCTAGCAAACGAAATGTCAAACCGATGTGTTTATCTATAGGTGACGCCACCGTCGAATATCAGAGTTATACTCTACCACTAATTCACACTCAAATCACAGAAATAACTAATTTAAGTCAGTAATGTTGGGAAGCTAGCGCCCACTCGGACTCCTTTCTACAATAATTGTCAAAAGCATGCAGTTTGTCATAGTTTGTGCTTGATTGGCAGGTTCGACATAAGGAGTAAGTTCACTGCACCAATTCTTCAGTTAGAGAAATAACCTTTAAAATAAATTCCACCACAGAATATTGTATTTTACCTAACAATAGGATTTTGTCGCTGCGGTCTAAAAGGGGTTAGTTTTGACAACTCATTTTGAGAATGTTGGAGGACTTGGTTATTTATTTTATATATGATTTGTGTAATTGGTATGAATTCAAAATGATTATACCACCACAAACTATCACAAAATAACAAACTTTCAAAATCTGACACAATACGTTTAATGTGACGTACGCTAAATTTGCGTTCAAAATTCCATGCAACTACAAAAATGTTAACTTTTTTAACCTTTAGCTTTTATATTCCTAAAGTTAAACTCCAAAATTATATTCCTTCGCAAAACAAGCTCATGTTTCTAAGCCATATCAAAATGCTTGTTAACATTGTTGGATTCTGTATTCATGCCATGACGGATGATCTAGAAGTATTTTTGAACTGATGTAGTCTTGACTGAAAAAGAAATCGATTTTCTCACCAACATTCAGTTAACTTAGTAAACACTCGTTATCATGTGGGCCTAAAGATGTGCTTCTCAGCCAATTCAGAAATGGAGGAGAATTACTAGACAAAAGAGCTTTATTTTGCAAAAGCTACGCATTAATTGATTTGCAAGGTTCAACCCGTCCGTCTGTGAATACTTATTTATTAATAATTTATGCAAAACGCTGAATATCCCTGTCCACTTAGCTGTATTTGCAAACCATTGTCATCAAACCTTCCACTTTAACCACTGCTAAATTGCACACTTGGTCCAGGCGCGGATCGAGGGGGGGGGGGTCCCAAACCTATCTATATCATATGATTTGTGTATTTGGTGTAAGTTCAAAATAATACCAACATAAATTCTCACAAAATTACTTTCAAAGTCTGATTCGAGACAAATGTAACAATGTTACCTTTTAAACCTTTAGTTTTTTATTTCAAAAGTTGAACTGTAAAATAATATTCCTTCGCAAAAACAAAGTATGTTTTCTAAGCTATATCGAAATGCTTGTAATCATTGTTGGGTCCTGTTTTCATGCCATGACGGTTATCTAGAAGTATCTGTGAGCTGAAGTAGACTTAACTGAAAAAGAAATACATTTTCTCACCCGGCAGCATCCTCAGTAAACACTAGATATCATGAAGACAAGTGCTTCTAAACCAATTTAGAAATTAAGGAGGACTAATGACGTAAAAGCTTTATTTTGAAAAATCTACGCATCAATTGATTTATATTTGCAAAGTCATAGGCGTAGCCAGCAAGGGGGGGGGGAAGGGGGTAATTTAACCCCCCCCCCCCCAATATTTTGTAAAGACTGCCTTTTTTCCATTCAAATGCCCTTTTTTAAACGGTCTTAACCCCCCCCCCCCCCATAATTTGTAATGAGTGCTCTTTTTTTACGAAGTGCCCTTTTTTTTCTGAACAGGTGCCCTTTTCTAAAAGAAGTGGTGCCCTTTTTTGTTACATCTGCCGTTTTGGGTGCCTTATTCCGAATTCAGTACATGTATCGCCCTGAAAAGCACCATATATTGGCCCTTTGTGTGTATAATTGTCGGTTTTGAACAGCGCCCCCATCGACAGATGGTACCAGCCCTCCCCCCCCCCCCTCGCTTTTTGATTTTACGGAGGCCAAGTGTCCGGAGAAAAAAACCTGTCTACATTTCACAACGGCTGTGCAAGTGCCCTTTCAAAAAAATGTCCCCCCCCCCAATAAAAATGACCGTGCTACGCCCCTGAAAGTTCATCCTGTTTGTGAATCCTAATTTGTGAATAATTGAGGCAAAATATTTCGTTGAAGAATGTCCCTGTCCCATTAGCTGTATTTGCACATTTCATCATCATAAAACCATCAACCTAAGCCAAGGCTACATTGCACATCCGCGTGTGACTTTGGCAACTCTAAAAAAAAAAATTAAAAAAAATTAAAAAAAATTAAAAGCACACGAAACGTCTATGTATGTTTACGACAGAAGATATTTAGAAAAAGATCCCATCTTCAGCCAATAGGTGGCTTATTCGCCAAGATGGGGCAAGGGTGGGCACTTGCCTCCCCCCCCCCCCCGCCCCCCCCCCCCCCCCCCCCCCCGGAAATGGGAGAAAAAGAAGACGAGGTGCGAAGTCATATTGCTGTTAATTTAATTTAATGCACATTTCACAACATGGGCGTCCGCAGGGGAGTCGATCGGGGTGGGGTGGGTAAAAATCCCCCCCCCCCACCCTCGAAAACAAATGATAAATTAAGAATATGCCAATGATTTTTGGGATAATGTGCTTTGCCCCCCCCCCCCCCCCCCCCCCCCCTATAAAAAAATCCGATTGGCGTATTGACTTTCTTTAATTGTTTATTGAAGTTGGATGGGTTCGCACAGCCAACCAGGCTGCGATCTTGGGGTTGGCAGCAATGCGGCTCTTAAGGGCGCTCAGCTTCGGGTACTTCTCCAGGGTGTTGGCACCCTTTGACACGACCACATTCACATAATCAACAGCGGTGAAGAAAAAGAGATCGGCGGCCGTGATCTACAGCAACAAAAACGAACAAAAAATACAGTTTCACCGGTACAGTCCAGCGATACACGACAAATCTTGTCAAGGAAGCTGCAAAGGATTGTGGGAGAATCCGTTGCGTGGGATTGTGGGACATCTTGGGTTATCTTGCGATGTTATTTTTTTTTCAGAGAAATTTCCTTCCAATGACGTTTTTCAAAATTCATGTGATTTGGGAATAATCTGAAAAAATACTATACACACTGAATTAAAGCCTCCAAAAACCTGTTAAAGAGTAAAAATAACATTTGAAATTACCTTTTTATGACGTTAGTAAGAAATAAGTTGCCAGCATAATAACTGTCAAATTGTAGTCCACGACTGTTAAGGGTAAAAAGGAATAATTTTGTAGGGTTGTTAAGATGGTGTTTTACCGAGTTTCCGACGAAGAAGTCTCCAGCTTGCTTCAGGCCGAGCAATCGCTCCAGAGTCGCGTAGATCGGCGGGACCACATCCTTCAAGAACTTCTCAATTCGTTGTGGCTGGGGTTGAAAAATACAGTTTTGACAGGTTGTTTCCATCCTTTCCAACTTCCAAGTGGTCTACTTTCAAAGTAGTCTTGGAAGGGCGCCACTAAGAGGTTATCATGAAAAGTCTCTTTGCAGTGCATTATGGGGGAATCGAAATTCGTTAGTTAACGTATACCAAACTGCATCCATTCAGCAGCAAAGAGACATAGAAGACAAGATAAGTTTGCGGTAGCACCATGTGAATAAATCTCTTTTGTGAGTATGTGTGGTTCTGAAAAGAACTGGAGGGACTCAACGTTTCGAACAGTATGCTCTGCCCGTCGTCAAGAGACATAGCCTAGACTTATTTGCACAAACTTCACTTGAAGTTTAGTGAAAATTGATGCATTTATAAGGCTTCAGATAGAATTTGGTGTTTTTTGTGGTAGACGGACAGAGGATTAGTTCATATTTCTAAAAAGCTTCCCATATGTTTACCTCCACACACTGCACTGGCTTCAAATAACTTACCTTGCCTTCTTCAGGCCCATAGAAGACAATGTTGATTCCCGACCAGATGTCCTCTACAGTGTCAAGTGCTTGGTCTATGAATGCCGCATCGAGGGACGTCTTGCCATAAAATCCTTTAGAAAACGGATCAGAAACGATTCTAATTTGATGATTATTATGACCCAATAAGGTTCAGCACAAATGTATTTTCAGTGTTTTGGTTTGTGTTATGAAGTCCCCTTTACAGCACAATTACCCAAAATATAAGAAATGTCTAACTTTACATGTTTGGTAAAGTTCATTGCAATATTAACTACTCCTCACTAAAATCGATCAATTTTCTCAATCAAAAGAAGATTTGAAATACAGTTTTTAAGGATGTTAACGCCCTTATGTAGGTTTCACAACTCACCAAATTCCCTGGCCAGATATCTCAGGACAGCCTTACTCTGACATATCATCGTCTCGTCGACCTCCAGCACTGGAATTTGTTGGGTGGGAAATGCTGATCAACAAAACAAAAACAAACCAACAAACAAACAATATGTCATAATAGTTAAAAGATTACCGTGACAGGTGGTTATATTTGATGGTTTCATCTTTCTGTATTTCTTTTGTTTTTGTTGGAACTGATTGGTTCTGAACCCCTCCCCACCAAATGTGCCCCTACATCTGTCCCATAAGTGATCATTTTGATGACGAGGCCCCCCCCCCACACACACACACAGTGGGGTACTTCCTTTGTTCTCGTGTACTAAAATTTTGCAACGTCGCACACTAATTTCAAAATACTCTTATTTTTACCTGAATTAATTTCCTGGGCTGAAATTCGGACTTAATATCCCTTTTCTTCCATTTGTGACACTCAACCCACCTTGGAAATTCCTAGTTTTTGAGTAAAATCCATATACATTTGTATCTATTTCGTGAAAAACTTGTGGGGTACCAAAACGGTACCCCGCAAGTCGGTGGGCATTCCTTGTGGGGTACCCCATAACTTGCAGTGTTTGTACACCCCCACACACAAACACACACACAAAAATAATGGCGGAATAACTCACTGTGCTTTAGCTTAGGCCAATCCGCAAACTCGAAGTTCTTTTCTTCATAGTCGACCCCAGCTAGCTTGAAAGCCAGACGAATACTTTCAGCACGGCCCTGTGACTTGAAGAAGTGAAGTACGTATTTCACCATGGTGTCGTGGACAACAACATGCTAAGAATCTTGTTAGAATTGCACCCACCTAAAGGTGCTCTTTAGCAGCGCTAGCTTCTACGCACAAACTACAATGACGGTATTTCGAGCAGTACATGGAAAATCCGCAATCACAATAGCTGGTCGGGCTAAATAGATCAATCGTACAGTGAAAAGACTGTAGACCGTATAAAAGCTAGACTTGTGCCAAGTCGGCTATTGTTCACGTACGGACGGTACCGGTTACTGGTTCCACTCACGCAAAATATCACTGCAATGCGCGAAGCCTGGTTACCAGACCAAATGATGCTGACTGTCGCAACCTGGCCGATTAGTACTAGTCTTATACCAGCCGCGCCGATTGAGTTCGACTGAAGTTCACAGACAAAATACAAGAATATCTAACGACTTGTCATCAAGTCTATATAAAAGCGGATTTTTCAGTACCCCATGACCTATAGTGTACGGAAGCGTTAAAGGGACATTATAAAAAATATATAAAAAAAATAAGTCATAATGCTTTAAGTCATAATTATGACTTACATCTCATAATTAAGTCGTAGGATATCTCATAATTATGACTTAACACTAAGTCATAATTAGATATGTCATAATTATGAAATATCTATCTATATCTATATAATAAGTCATGCCTCTGAAACACCAGAACGTGAGTCTTAACCGCTAGGCCATCACACTCCACTTATATGAGATATAAGTCATAATTATGACTTAATACTAAGTCATTATTATTACATATAAGTCATAACAATGACTTAATAATAAGTCATAATTATGAGGTATAAGTCATAATTATGACTTAGGTTTTTTTTAGTTTGTATTATGTCCCTTTAACGCTTCCGTAATAGTGACATTCTAGAAACCGAAATTTTAGACCGAAGTATCACTGGGCGACGCTACCGTGGAATATTATGAAAATAACAAATTTTCAAAATCTGACACAATACGTTTAATGTGACGTACGCTGATTTTGTATTCACAATTTACATTCAACTACTAACAGAAAATATTAACCTTTTTTAACCTTTGGCTTTTGTTTCTGAATTTAAACTCCAAATTATATTCCTTCGCAAAACCAAACTACATGTTTCTAATAAGCCATTATCAAACTGATTGTAATCATCGATGGGTACTGTATTCATGCCGTGACGGTTATAACGTTATTCACAAGTATTTTTGAGTTGACGTAGAATTGACTGAAAAGTAATCAATTGTCTAACCAGCATCCGGTTTACTAAACGCTCGTTATCATGGAGAAGTGCTTCTATAAGCCAATTTAGAAATTAAGGAGAATTAATGACGAAAGAGCTTTATTTTGCAACAGCTACGAATTAATTTATTTTAGTAGTTCATCCCGTTTGTGAATCCTAATTTAAGAATAATTTATGCAAAACGCGTGTTAAATAATGTTCTTGTCTCATTATCTGTATTTGCAAACCATAATCATCATTTCCATCAACCAACCCTAAATCATACATCCTCATGCTACTTTGGAAACCCTTAAAACTTTGTTTTAAAAACACAGAAGCATCAAAGTATGTTTACGATGACACAGAGTTGGAACCCGAAAAGTATTCCATTTTCCGCTAATAGTTGGCGTATTTATTTTCTTTTGTACTTAAAACGTCGCTTCAGGTGGTCGCACAGCCAACCAGGCTGCGATCTTGGGGTTGGCAGCGATGCGGCTCTTGAGAGCGACCAGCTTCGGGTACTTCTCCAGGGAGTTGGCGCCCTTTGACAAGACATTCACCATGTCAACAGCGGTGAAGAAAAATAGATCGGCGGCGGTGATCTACAGCGAACAAAAAATGAAACAAAATCACAGGAGTTCAAAAGTACTGATCACTAAACTGAGCTGTTTGCTTTCGGAATTATCAGTTTTGCTGGTAGTCCGACGGTGCATGACAAATCATGTCAAGGAAGCTGCAAAGGATTGTGGGACAATCTGCTGCTCAGGATTGTGGACATCCTGGGTAATCTAGCGATGTTATCTTTGTCATAAACAATATGTGCTTCCAATGAATGTTTTCAAGTTCCTGTGATTTGAGAGTAATTTAACACTCTTACAGTAGAGTCACCAAAATGACTTCTTGCAAAGTAAAGTAAGAGATAAATTGCCAACTTAATCATTGTCTGCGTGTGAATCAAGTTTCAGCCTCCAACTCTTAAGGTTAAAAAAGGAATTAATTTGTCGAAGATTTCTAAGATGGCTAAATATACCGAATTTCCGACGAAGAAGTCACCGGCTTGCTTCTGGCCTATTAACCGCTCCAGAGTCGCGTAGATCGGCGGGACCACATCCTTCAAGAACTTTTCAATTCTTTGTGGCTGGGGTCGGGAAAAAAACGTTTGATTGGATGTTACAATCTGTTCCAACCGTTCTATAACAGAACTTTTGAAAGTGCGCCAACACCCCACAAAGTATCTTTTGCATAAAGGGGGGGGGGGATTGACATTCAATTGTTAACTCTTCCCAAGACGAGTCTATTCTTCAGTAAGATATACTTCTTAAATTCGAATTCTTTTGAAAAAAAAAGCAATGGATTTGCAAGTTTTCAGATACAATTTGGGTGGTGCATGCTACCACACGGACAGACGATTAGCTCATTATAGTATATTCGTGCAAAGGTTTAGTCTATCAAATGAATACATGTTTACCTCCAGAGGCGGTTATTTAAGTCACTTACCATGCTTTCTCGAGGCCCATGGAAGACAGGGTTGAGTTCCGACCAGATATCCTCGACCGCGTCAATTGCTTGGTCTATAAATGCTGCATCAAGGGACGTCTTGCCATAAAATCCTTTAGAAAACAGATTAAAAGGGATTCTATAAAGTAAAAAATTTGGCAGAACGATTTAGGCATAAATGTCTTTCATTATTTTGTTCCTATAGGAATTTTGTGGTATGAAGTCTCCTTTACAGCTTACCTATACGCAAAGTATAAGAAATATCGAAGTTTACATGTTTGGTAAAGTTCATTGCGATATTGCCTAATCCTCACTAAAATCAATTATAAAAATTTCAAAATTCCTGCGAATCAATTCAGATAAAAGAAGAATTGAAAGACAGCACGTAACGCCCTCACTGTGTCCCAACTCACCAAACTCCCTTGCCAAATATCTCAGGACAGCCTTGCTCTGACATATCATCGTCCCGTCGACCTCCAGCGCCGGCGTTTGCTGGGTAACATAGTCTGATCAACAAAACAAAAACAAAGTTACTATACTAACAATATGTCATTAGTTAAAACTTGGATTCCCGTAACAGGTGGTTATTGACAAAGGTTTCATCTTTCTATATTTCTGTTCTTTTTGTTGGCACTGATTGCTTCTGAACCCCCCACCAAACGTGCCCCTACATCTGTCCAAAAGATGATAATTTTGATGAAAAAAACATACAAATGAATTTAATGGCGGAATAACTTACTCGGCTTTAGCTTAGGCCAATCTGCAAACTCGTAGTTCTTTTCTTCATAGTCGACCCCAGCTAGCTTGAAAGCCAGACGAATACTTTCAGCACGGCCGTGACCCTTGAAGTAGTGAAGTACGTATTTCACCATGGTGGCGTGGAGCACTACAAGCTATTACTAAACTCTTGTTAGAAATGCGCCTACCGAACCGAAGGTATACTTTTTTATTTAGCAGCGCTAGCTCCTACGCCCAAACCTACAATGACGATATTTCGAGCAGTGCATGGAAAATCTGCAAGTCATTTTTGCTGTTGATTTGAAAATCAGAAAAGGGTCAAGGTCTACAAATTCACAAAAGATTGCGGAGTAGAAGATAAAAACGTAGTTAAGTAAATTTGTATTAGGGTATCAGGAGATTAGGGTAATGTAAACAGACCATAGACCGTACAAAGCAAATTTTTCAGTGCCTCATGACCTATATTGGGACATTCTACAATCCTGGCCAAAATGGTTGGGACACGTCCACACAAGAGCATATCCTCCCCCGGTCCCGCGCTCGCTCCCCCTGGTCAATGTTGTCATCTCGCGCTTGAGCACAGACCGCGCAATGAGAGACAACATTGGCCGGGCCCGGGAGTTGGGGCCCAGCGAGTTTTGACCGGGATTTTTGCAATCTAATTTATAACCGACGTGTTATCATGGGTGACGCTACCATTGAATATCAGCATTTAGCCAAGTAAATTCCACTAAGTCACTACTCAAATCACAGAAATAACACGTGAATTCAGTCATGCTGGAAAGCTGGCTCCCACTCCAAGCTTCCCTCTACAATAATTGTCAAAAGCTGCAATTTGTCGTGTAATTTTTGTTGAATTGGCAGGTTTGACTTAATGAGTAAGTAAAGAGATCACATCACCATATCTTTAGTAAAAGAAAAAACCTTTAACAAAAAAAATACAGCTTTTCGTCAAAAAGATTGTACATCATAGAAATAACAAAATAACAAACTTTCAAAATCTGACTCAACTCATTGAATGTGACGTACGCTAAATTTTTATTCAAAATCATTCTTCTCAGCTCTACCTTTTTGGTTTCTAAAGTTAAACTCCAAAATTATACTCCTTCGTAAAAACAAACTATAATTTTATTTTTACGAGCCATATAGAAATGCTGGTAATCATTGTTCGGTACTGTATTCATGCCATGATGGTTTAATATCGACAAGTATTTTTAAAATAAACTTGACATAAACTTGACTCAAAGTTTTTCACCAGCAGCCAGTTTACTAATCGAATACTCGCTGGCATAGAAAAGTGCTTCTAAGCCAGTTTAGAAATTAAGGAGAAAATGACAAAAGAGCTTTATTTTGCAAAAGCTACGCATTAATTGATTTTCGTGGTTCATCCTGTTTGTGATTCCTATTTGTGAATAATTCATGCAAAATACTTGGTTTAAGAATGTCCCTGTACCATTCGCTGTATTTGAAACCATTATCATCGTACCAGATCAAACTAGGCCTCAACCCTGAATCGAAGATCTGCATGCTACTTTGGCAACTGCAAATTTTAAAAGCACACAAAGCATGAATGTATGTTTACGATGACACATAGTCAGAAATTGATCCCATCTCCAGCCAAAAGGTGACATATTGATTTTCTTTTCTACTTAAAACGTCGCTTCAGGTGGTCGCACAGCCAACCAGGCTGCGATCTTGGGGTTGGCAGCGATGCGGCTTTTGAGGGCGACCAGCTTCGGGTACTTCTCCACAGAGTTGGCGCCCTTTGAAAAGACATTCACCATGTCAACAGCGGTGAAGAAAAAGAGATCGGCGGCGGTGATCTACAATGAACAAAAATCAAATCGAAAAAAATATCACTACTGATCACTAAACTGCTCTGTTTTCTTTTGAAATTATCAATTTCGCTGGTAGTCCGACGGTGTATGACAAATCATGTCAAGGAAGCTGCAAAGGATTGTGGGACATTCTGCTGCACAGGATTGTGGGAGATCCTAGGTTATTCAGCGATGTTATCTTTGCCAGACAAAATTGTGCTTCTAATGATTTTTTTTTCAAATTCCTATGATTTGAGAGTAACTCTCTTAATTTAACACTGCTGCAGTACCGTCACCAAAATGACTTCTTGCAAAGTAAGTAAGACTGTAAGAGATAACTTGGCAGCTTAATCATTGTTTGAATGTGAGTCAAATGTTTGTCTCCGGCTCTTAAGGTTAAAAAGGAATTGATTTGTAGGATTGCTAAGAGGGATAATTACCGAGTTTCCGACGAAGAAGTCACCGGCTTGCTCCAGGCCGATTAACCGCTCCAGAGTCACGTAGATCGGCGGTATAACATCCTTCAAGAACTTCTCATTTCTTTCCGGCTGGGGAAAGAAAAAAAACAGTTCGATTTGATGTTTCAATCTGTTCCTAACGTCCTTACTAAAAACCTTTGGAAGTGCGCCGACAAGAGTTCACCACACAAACTATCTTTTGCATAATTTGGGGAGAGTTGACCTTTAATTATAAACTTTTCCAAAGCCGAGTCTATTCGGCAGTAAGAGATATACTTCTTAATAATTCGCATTCTTTTTCAAAAAGAAGGATTTGCAAGGTTTCAGACACAATTTGGGTGGTGCTACCGCATGGACAGACGATAGGTCATTATATTATATTCGTGCAAAGGTTTATTAATGAACACAGTCATGTTTACCCCAAAGGCTGAAATTCAAATTACTTACCATTGTTTCTTGAGGCCCATTGAAGACAATGTTGACTGCCGTCCAGATGTCCTCGACCGCGTCAATTGCTTGGTCTATAAATGCCGCATCAAGGGACGTCTTACCATAAAATCCTTTAGGAAACAGAGGAAAAGGAATTCTAAGGTGAAAATTTGGCAGAACGGTTTAAGCACCATTTAATGTTTCTCATTTGTTTCAGGGAATTGGTTTGTGAAGTCTCCTTTACAGCATACTTAAGCAAAGTATAAGATTGCCTATTACAGTGTACATGTTAGGTAAAGTTTATTGCTATATATATGTATTACCGAGACCTCCAAAAAAATCGATCATAATTTTCTCGATCAAAATTTCAAATTTCCTGCGAATCAATTCCGATAAAAGAAGAGTTTGATAAAAGAAGAGTTTGAAAACACATGTTATAATAGGTCTCGCAACTCACCGAACTCCCTGGCCAGATATCTCAGGATAGCCTTACTCTGACATATCATCTTCCCGTCGACCTCAAGCGCCGGCGTTTCCTGGGTGGGAAATGCTGATCAACAAAAGAGATCACATGCGGTTATAGACAATGGTTTTATCTGTTTCTTTACTTATGTTGTTTATGTTGTTTTGGGGACTGATCTAGCGAACCCGTACATCTGTCCGTTATGTGATACATTGGATGGCCAAACTAAAAGGAAGAAGATTTTAATGTCGGAATAACTCACTCGGCTTTAGCTTAGGCCAATCCGCAAACTCGAAGTTCTTTTCGTCATAGTCAACCCCAGCTAGCTTGAAAGCCAGACGAATACTTTCAGCACGGCCCTGCGCCTTGAAGTAATGAAGTACGTATTTCACCATGGTGGCGTGGAGCACTACAAGCTATTGCTGGACTCTTGTTAAAATGGCGTCAGGTACTTTCTAGCAGTGCTATGTCTTCCACGCCCAAAACTGCAATGACGATGATATTTCGAGCAGGCATGGAAAATCCACAAGGCATATTTGCTGTTAATTTGCATCCAGTTTACGAAAAGGATTAAGGTGTAAAAATTCACAAAAGGTTGCGCAGTAGACTGGTCCTATAATACGTGGTTAAGTATTAAGGTATCAAAGGTAAACATACCACAAACCGTACAAAGCAAACTTTTCAGTGCCTCAAGTCCTATATTGTGACATTCCATAGGAACTGAATTTAAAACCGATGTTGTATCATGGGTAACACTACCAAGGAATATCAGCACAGCCAAGTCATACTACTTATTCACTACTCAAATCACAGAAATAACACATGAAGTCAGTCATGTTGGGAAGCTTCCTCCCACTCTGACTCCCTCAGTTCTACAATAATTGTCAAAAGCTGCACTTTGTCGTATACTTTGTGTTGCATTGGCAGGTTTGACATAAGGAGTAAAGTAAAACGAATCGCAGCATTATATCTTGATTATAAGAGAAGTTAGCTTTCCAGAAAGTTTGTCCACCATAGAATTTTTCATTTGAACTAAAAAAAATAACAGTTTTCCCCCGGGGACACTTCATTTTGAGAATGTTGAAATCGTTGAGTTATTTCTTTCATTATGATTGGTGCTTTTGGTGTGAACTCAAAATAATACCAACATAAACTATCACAATAACAAAGTTTCAAAATCTGACTCAACACGTACATTGAATGTGACGTTCACTAATTGTTTTTATTCAAAATTGACATTCAACTAAGGACATTTCTAACCTTTTTCTCAGCTTTGGCTTTTTGGTTTCTAAAGTTAAACTCCAAAAATATACCTCTTCGTACAAACAAACTATAGGTTGGTTTTACGAGCCATATCCAAATGCTGGTAATCGTTGTTCGGTACTATAGGCCTATTCATGCCATGACGCTGACGGTAATCTACAAGCATTTTTGAGCTGTGTAAACTTGACCGAAAGTTTCTCATAAGTTAACACTCGTTATCATAGAAAAGTGCTTCTAAGCCAGTTTAGAAATGAAGGAGAAAATAACCAAAACAGCTTCATTTTGCAAAAGCTACGCATTAATTGATTTTCGAGGTCCATCCCGTTTGTTAATCCTAATATTTGTGAATAATGTACAAAACACTGGGTTAAAGAATGTCCCTATCCCATTAACTGTACTTTGTATTAGAAATCCATTATCATCATACCATATCAGCCTAATCCCCTTAATCACACATCTGCATGCTGCTTTTGGTAGGCTTAACTACAAATTTACACACAGCGTCCATGTACACTCAACCAGAAACTCCCCTCCCCCTAATACTTGTTTGTTTAACTCAAAAACAACTGGGCACATCTTGCTCAAATTAAATGGATCAGTACAGAAATTCCTTAGCAATCCAGCCATGCTCTTTGTTTGGCCCAAACCAGTGATAATGTGTAAGAAATTACGCAATTTATGACAAATGCTACCGAAAAAAGTTGCACTTTTGTATAGGCCTACGTGCAAGGTGAGTGTGAACAAAAACTTGCACGTATACAAAGGTGCAACTGTTTTCGGTATCATTTGTCATAAATTGCATGATTTCGTACCCATTTTCACCGTTTGCGACGACATAAAAGTTAGAAAATGATCCCATCTCCAGCCAAAAGGTGACATATTGATTTTCTTTTCCACTTAAAACGTCACTTCAGGTGGTCGCACAGCCAACCAGGCTGCGATCTTGGGGTTGGCAGCGATGTGGCTCTTGAGGGCGCCCAGCTTCGGGTACTTCTCTAGGGAGTTGGCGCCATTTGGCAAAAAGAAATTCACCATGTCAACAGCGGTGAAGAAAAAGAGATCGGCGGCGGTGATCTACAATGAACAAAAATGGAAAATTGAACAAGGAAACTACTGATCATTAAAACTGATCTGTTTCCTTTCGAATCAGTCTCGCTGGTAGTCCTTGCACGAAAAATCATGTCAAGGAAGCTGCAAAGGATTGTGGGACAATCTGCTGCTCAGGATTGTGGGACATCCTGGGTAATCTAGCGATGTCATCTTTGCCGAACAAAATTGTGCTTCCAATGAAATTTTTGAAATTCCTATGATTTGAAAGTAATTTGACTTAATTTAACACTGCTGCAGTACCGGCACCAAAATGACTACTTGCAAAGTAAGTATCATTGTCTGAATGTGAGTCAAATGTTTGTCAACGGCTCTTATTAGGTTAAAATGTCTTGATTAATTTAAGATGGCTAATTACCGAGTTTCCGACGAAGAAGTCCCCGGCTTGCTTCAGGCCGATTAACCGCTCCAGAGTCGCGTAGATCGGCGGGACCACATCCGTCAAGAACTTCTCAATTCTTTGTGGCTGGGCTTGGAAAAACAATACATTTTGATTGGATGTTTCAATTTATATATGTTTCAACTTTTGGAAATGCACCAACAAGAGGTTACCACACAAAACATGTTTTGCATAATGGGGGAGTTGATATTCGTTTGTTACCTTTTTCCAAGCCAAGTCTATTCTGAAGCAAGAGAATACTTTTTACAGTTCAAATTTGTATTGCAAAAAAAAACGATGGATTTGCAAGGTTTCACATACAATTTTGGAGTTGTTACCACACGGAAAGAGGATTAGCTCATTATTCCTGCAAAGGTTTATCAAATGAATAAATGTTTACCTCCAGAGTCTGATAGTTCAAGTAACTTACCCTGCTTTCTTTAGGCCCATCGAAGGCATGATTGACTTCCGACCAGAGGTCCTCGACAGTGTCAATTGCTTGGTCTATAAATGCCGCATCAAGGGATGTCTTGCCGTAAAATCCTTTTAAAAACGGATGAAAAGCGGTTCTAATGTGACATTTGGGCAGAACGGTTTAAGCATGAATGTACGCATGGTTAAGTTGAGATGACGTCAAACTAACAGACTGTATTATGTCTCTTAACTCACCGAACTCCCTGGCCAGATATCTCAGGACAGCCTTACTCTGACATATCATCTGCCCGTCGACCTCAAGCGACGGCGTTTGCTGGGTAGCATAGTCTGATCAACAAGACAAAAACAAATAAACTAACTTACTAACAAACAACATGTGATTAGTTAAAGGAATACCGTAACAGGTAGACAGTGCGTGTTTCATCTTTCATTAGTTCCGTTCTTTTTGTTTGGGCTGATTGGTTCTGCACCATGATGTGCCCCTACACCTGTCTGAAATGTGATGATTTCGGTGACTAAAAAAGGGATTATAAGGAGGAATAACTCACTCTGCTTTAGTTTTGGCCAATCCGCCAACTCGAAGTTCTTTTCTTCATAGTCGACCCCAGCTAGCTTGAAAGCTAGACGAATACTTTCAGCCCGGCCATAGTGCGCCTTGAAGTAGTGAAGTACATACTTCACCATGGTGGCATGGAGCACTATACCAGTCCCTTGAAAAAAAAGCGCGGCTCCCAAAGAGACTTTTAGCAGCACGTCCAAAACTACAGTGAAGATTTTTCGAGCAGCATTGAATAAATAGAAAATAGCAAGTCATATATGCTTTGGAATTATCTCAAAAAGGGTCAAGGTCCTCACCAAAAAACCCCGAGTCAACAGGCCCTACACACCAAATACGTGGTTAAGTATTAACGTATCAAAGGTAGATTCAAAATACCGTAGACCGTATATAAGCGGACTTTTCAGTGCCTCATGACCATATCAAACCGATGTGTTTATCTATAGGCGACGCCACCTAGCAATAACAGCACTAAGTCATACTACTCATTCACTTCTCAAATCTCAGAAATAACAAAGTCAGGCATGTTTGGAAGCTAGCTTCCACTCGGGCTCCCCTCTACAATAATTGTCAAAAGGTGAAGTTTTTCAAAAGCTTTGTGTTTTTAAGTAAATGTGTCATTGCACCATACCTTGAGTTAGAAAAATAACGTTTAAAAACATGCACCATAGAGTATTTCATTTGAACCAAAAAATAGCATTTTTCGCTGGGAGTGGGGGGGGGGGGTTAGAGGGGTAGTTTCGACACTTCATTTTTGTGAATGTTGGGGGACTCTGTTATTTCTTTCTTCATATAATTTGTGTATTTAGAAACCTTCACAAAATAACAAACTTACAAAATCTGTCTCAACACATTTCAATAATGTGACACTAGCAATTTTTTTTATTCAAAATCTATATACAACTACGTAAAGGTTTTGACTTTTTTTCTCTTTAGCTTTTTGTTTTCAAAAATATACTCCTCCGTAAAAACAAACTATAAATTTTTGAGCCATTATTAAAAATGCTTGAATCATTGTTGGGTACTGCATTCCATAACGGTTATCTCCAAGTATTTTTTAGCTGACGTAACTTGACTGAAAAGTATTAATTTTACTCATCAGCATCCAGTTTACTGAGTAAACAGTCGTTATAAAAAAGTTCTCCTAATAAGTTCTCCTGATCCGCATGCTACGTTGGTAACTACAAATTTTAAGCGTCAACGTATGTTTACGACGACATGTAGTAAGCAAATAATAACATCTCCAGCCAATATTGGTGGTAATATTCATTTTCTTTTCCACTTAAAGCGTCGCTTCAGGTGGTCGCACAGCCAACCAGGCTGCGATCTTGGGGTTGGCAGCGATGCGGCTCTTGAGGGCGACCAGCTTCGGGTACTTCTCCACAGAGTTGGCGCCCTTTGACAAGACATTCACCATGTCAACAGCGGTGAAGAAAAAAAGATCGGCGGCGGTGATCTACAACCAACAAAAATGGAACAAAATCACAGGAGTTCAAAAATGCTGATCACTAAACTGATCTGTTTTCTAAATTATCAATAATAGCTGGTAGTCCGACGATCAGCACGGCCGACAAATCATGTCAAGGAAGCTGCAAAGGATTGTGGGACAATCTTCTGCACAGGATTGTGGGACATCCTGGGTAATCCAGCGATGTTTATCTTACCGGACAAAATTATGCTTCCAATTTTTTTTTTTTCAATTTCCTATGGTTTGAGATTGAACACTGCTGCAGTACCGTCACCAAAATGACTTCTTGCAAAGTAAAAAAAGACATAAAGAGGTAATTTGCCATCTCAGTCATTGTCTGAATGTGAATCAAATGTTTGTCTCTGGCTTTAGGTTACACATAACTTGATTTGTAGGATTGCTAAGGGGGATAATTACCGAGTTTCCGACGAAGAAGTCCCCTGCTTGCTTTTGGCCGATTAACCGCTCCAGAGTCGCGTAGATCGGCGGAACCACATCCTTCAAGAACTTCTCAATTTTCTCTGGCTGTGGTAGGAAAAAAATCAGTTCGATTGGATGTTTCAATCTGCTAGTTCCAATCGTTCTGTAAAAGAGCCATTGGAATTGCGCCAACAAGAGGTTACCACATTCGTTTACAAAGTGTTTTCCCAAGCCGCACCTATTCTGCAGTAAGAAATATACTTTGCGGTTTAGGGTATAGACCTTATTCACGAGTAGGCCATTTTGATCGTGTTCCCTGAACGTATTTCATAAATTGTAAACTGTTGAAAGGGGTGGTGCCATACTATTTGTGCGTTCCAAGCCTCACTTTCATTCTTTCGTAAATGTTCCTTAAAATATTGCGGTATTGTTTATCACAAATTTTTAATTATTCATCAAAGCAGACTGGTATAAATTGTAATTAACTTTATATCATTGCTTTCATTTCTATTTCTATAACCCCAAAAAATGAAGATTTTACCTCGCTTTCAATTCAATTATGGCCGACTCTTGAATAAGGCCTATTTGGACACACTTCACTTAAAGTTCAACTTTTTCGTGAAAACTATGGATTTGCAAGGTTTCATATACAATTTGGGTGGTGCTATCAGATGGACAGATGATATGAGCTCATAATAATATATTCCTGCATGCAAAGGTTTGTCAAATAAATCCATGATTTACCTCCAGAGGCTGACGATTCAAGTAACTTACCCTGCTTTCTGCTGGCCCATGAAAGATAATATCACCTGCCGTCCAGATGTCCTCGACCGCGTCAATTGCTTGGTCTATAAATGCCGCATCAAGTGATGTCTTGCCGTAAAATCCTTTCGAAAACGGATGAAAAGGGATTATAAGGTGAACATTGGGCAGAACGATTTGGGCATGCATGTCTCTCATTTGTTTCTGGGAAAATAGGTTTGTGATTATGTATAGTCTCCTTTATAGCATATTTCGCTAAGTATTAAAACAATTTCTAACTTTACACGTTTGTTTAAGTTGGTTGCAATACATGTATTGCCTAATCCTCACTAAAATCGATTATAATTTTCTCAATCAAAATTTGAACTTCCTGCGAATCAGTTCAGATAAAGGAAGATTTGAGATACAGCATTTCAGGAACTCAACGCTCTTTTTATAGATCTCACAACTCACCAAACTCCCTTGCCAGATATCTCAGGATAGCCTTACTCTGACATATCATCTTCCCGTCGACCTCAAGCGACGGCGTTTGCTGGGTGGGAAATGCTGAACAACAAATGAAAACAAATAAACTAGTTTCCTAACAAACAACATGTCATAAGGTACAGGATTACAGGCGGTTATAGAACATGCTTCATCTTTCATTACTTAAGTTGTTTTTGTTGGGACTGATTGATTTTGAAACCCTTCCCCACCTAACGAGCCCCTACATCTGTCCAATATGTGATAATTGTGATGACCAAAAAAAAATAATGGCGGAATAACTCACTCGGTTTTAGCTTAGGCCAATCCGCAAACTCGAAGCTCTTTTCGTCATAGTCGACCCCAGCTAGCTTGAAAGCTAGACGAATACTTTCAGCACGGCCCTGCGCCTTGAAGTAGTGAAGTACGTATTTCACCATGGTGGCGTGGAGCACTACAAGCTATTCTAGACTATTGTTGGAATAGCGCCTACCGAAGGTATACTTTCTAGCAGCGCTAGATTCTACATCCAAAACTACTGCAATGACGATATTTCGAACAGTGCATGGAAAATCCGCAGAGCATTTTGCTGTTGATTTGATAATCTGAAAAGCCGGGTCAAGGTCTAACAATTCACAAAAGGTTGTGGCGTAGACTGGTTCTATAGATGGTGAAAACAAGTTAAGTTTCAGTGTATAGGCCGTACAAAGCAAACTTTTCAGTGCCCCATGACCTATATTGTGACATTCTAGCAACCAAAGTTAAAATCGATGTGTTATCATGGGTGACGCAACCATGGAATATCAGCAATAAATAGCCAAGCATTCACTTCTAAAATCGTAGAAGTAACACATGAAGTCAGTCATGTTGGGAAGCTAGCTCCCACTTCGACTCCATTCTACAATAATTGTCAAATCTGCAGTTTGATTTTTGTATTTGTCGTGAATTCAAAATGATACCAACATAAACCATCACAAAATATCCAATTTTTAAACTTTTACTCAACACATTTATTGCGACGTTTGCTTAATTTGAATTAAAAATGACTGGCAACTACAAACAATTTTAACCCTTTTATGCTTTAGCTTCTTTATTTCTGAAGATAAAATCCAAAATTGTTTTTGTAAGTGTTTCTAAGCCATATCAACATGCTGGTATAAATCATTGTTGAGTATGCCCATGACGATGATCTACATGTATTTTTGAGATGACGTGAACTTGACTGAAAAGTAATCAATTTTCTCACCAGCATCAAGTTAAACACTCGTTATCATAGAAAAGTGCTTCTTAGCCAGTTTAGATGACGAAAGAGCTTTATTTTGCAAAAGCTACACTTTAATTAATTTTTGTAGTTTATCCCGTTAATCAAGCTTAATTTGTGAATAATTTATGCAAACACTTGGTTGAAGAATGTCCCTGTCCACTTAGATGTACATTGATATTTGACAACCATTGTGATCATGATATCAAACTTAAAACCCTAAGTCGCACATCTGCATGCCACTTTGGTAACTACAAATTAAAAGTACACAAAGCATCAATGTATGCTTACGATGACACAGAGTGAGAAAATGATCTCATCTCCAGCCAACAGGTGGCGTGTTTATTTGCTTTTCTACTTAAAACGTCGCTTCAGGTGGTCGCACAGCCAACCAGGCTGCGATCTTGGGGTTGGCAGCAATGCGTTCCTTGAGGGCGCTCAGCTTCGGGCACTTCTCCAGGGTGTTGGCGCCCTTTGATATGTGATTCGCCATGTCAACAGCGGTGAAGAAAAAGAGATCAGCGGCTGTGATCTACAACGACAAAAACGAACAACATACAGGGGGCAATAATCGATCACTAAGCTGAACTATATTCTTTCGCAAATCTTAGTTTCGCTGGTAGTCTAGCGATGCACGATAAATCCTGTCCAGGAAGCAGGCATGGGATTTATCTTACTCAGGATTGTGTGACATCCGGGATTATCTTGTGATTTTTTTCAGAATAATAATCTTCCAATGAGATTTGTTTTGATTAATATGACTTGGGTGGAATAATATAACGAATACTTCACTGCAGTAAATTCACCCAATCTTGTTCTACGAGTGATTGGAGCAATTAATTGTCGGTTTAATAATCGTCTGAGTGGGGGTCATATTTTGGATTTTGATTACCGAGTTTCCAACGAAGAATTCCCCAGCTTGCTCCTGTGCAAGCAACCGCTCCAGAGTCGCGTAGATCGGTGGGACCACATCCTTCAAGAACCTTTCCATTCTTTCTGGCTGGGGTTTGAAAAAAATACAGTTTTTCCAGGTTGTTTCAATGTTTCAAAGTATGGAAACCAAGAGCGTATCGAGAATAGTATCTTTGCAGTGCATTAACGTTACCAAACTGCATCCATTCTGCAGCAAAAGACATAGACTTTACTGTTTGAATGTCAATAGTGAAAAACGATGCATTTTCAAGGCTTTAGATTAAATTTTGTGTTCGTTTTGTGGCATCACACGGACAGACGATGAACTCATCTTGCAAAGGCTTCACAATACATGTTTACATCCCAAGCATGCATGGCTTCAAATAACTTGCCCTGCTTTCCGGAGGCCCGTGGAAGACAACGTTGAGTTCCGACCACATGTCTTCGATCGTGTCGAGTGCTTGGTCTATGAATGCCGCGTCCAGGGATGTCTTGCCATAAAACCCTTGAATAAATGATAAAAAAAAAATCTGAAGGTGTTATTATAACACAATTTGGTTGAGTATACAATTGAATTTTCTGTTTTTTAGTTTTGTTATACAGCATGATTATGCAAACTTAGGAAATGTCTCAGTTTACGTTATTGGCAAAGTCCATTGAGAAATGCCTTGCCAATCTTCACTAAATTCGATCAGAATTTTCTCAATCGAAATTTCAAATTGCAGGGAATCAATGCAATTAATGGAGAATTAAAACACAGCATTGAAAGAATTTAACACTCATATTAAGGTGTCCCAACTCACCAAATTCCCTGGCCAGATATCTCAGGATAGCCTTACTCTGACATATCATCTGCCCGTCGACCTCCAGCGCTGGAACTTGCTGGGTGGGAAATGCTGAGTAAAAAAATTAATAAATAATAATAATTAGTTCAAGGATAATCGAAAGAGTAATTTTGGACGTTTTCTTTTCCGGTATTAACTGTCTTTTGATCGGGACGGGTGGTGGTGCAATAGCTCACTCGGTTTAAACTTTGGCCAATCCGCAAACTCGAAGTTCCTTTCTTCATAGTCGACCCCAGCTAGCTTGAAAGCCAGACGGATACTTTCACCACGGCCGTGCACCTTGAAGTAGTGAAGTACGTATTTCACCATGGTGGCGTTGAGCAGGCACAAGCTGTTACCAGACACCTGTTAAAATCGCAGCCACGAAGGTACTTTGTAGCAGCGCTACCTTGCACACCTAAAGCAGCAATGACGATGATATTTCGAGCGATATTAAATAAATTATAGCAATTGATATTTGCTGTTGATTTAGGTAATCTAAAAAGGGTCAAGGTCTAAAATGTACAAAAGGTGGCGGAGTAGACTGGTCATATAGACGGCAGTAAATCCGCAATGAAGTATTTGGGTAGCAAATGTACATCCTAAAGTCAGAACAACCGATAAACTCTACGAAACGGAGTATCATTTTGCCCCATGATCTACTGCCATTCTATAGCGACCAAAATTGCAGCCCTATGGTGCGCCTTAAAATAGTAAAATTAGAGTACGCACATGTACATCACCATGGATGACAGGGGCCCTATGGGCTCCGTGCACTAATGAAGAGGGCGCCCTTTTACCAAGCAATGACGACCCATGGTCGGGACATTTCGCTGGTTGACGCGCACGATTCCTTGTGTGTGACGCACGTACACCAGGGAATTTGTACCATGTTTTTACACGGCACGCAGTGGCCGCGCTTCGCGACAAAATATTGCAGTCAGGCAAGATGGCGTCGTTCGGTCACCCCAAACTGTACTTTATCTGCCGGTGAGGGGGCACTTGTGAACAGAGCGGTATCGTCCGCCTCTCAAGTTACTTCAAAATGGACGCATCTTTTAGTTCGTATGTTTCACAAAAAGACTTTAAGTGAATATTTCGGGTTTTGTCCATTGTTTCTTTCACAAAAAAGCAGGGTGAGGGAAAAAAACACGAACTAAAATATAACTGAATTAAAATCCTGAAGCCAGTCTGCACGTATAGCAAATTGAGAGTGTTATAGAAAAATGTACGTGTAAAACGTGTTATGAACGCCTTCTTTCAATAATGTTAAAGTGTGGCACGCCGTTATTACCACTGTAAATGTGATACCTTATTTACTTATTATTTTATTATCAGGCACACAATAAAACAGACATTACATGTACATAAAAAACAGGCCAGAAGATTGCCAAGAAGCGAACCAAATCATGATATAAAGGGCTCTCCAAGCAACAACCAAAAAACCCCTTAAACACTTCACATTCATACAATAAATCGATTATATTTATCTTATGCGCGTGATATATTTTAAGTTTACATTTTGTTGCTGCTGTTCCTGTTGTTGAACTTTATTCTCAAAAAGCAAACAGAACCAAAACCTAATGTTACACTGAATAACGACCAACGACAAGAAACTTTAATCTTTGCAGATTCAACAATCTTCGGATCAAATGTCAAAAACGCCCCTCGTTTTTTGGGGAAAAACGAGGGGCTGCTTACCAACAGTCTTGTTGGTCGTAAACAGGATCTCTTGGTTGTGATGCCAGCACAGTTTCTCTTCCACAGTCTAGGACTACTTTAAATCTGGCCGGGTGCTTCGTCTAAAGGTATGTAGGGTTTCTTCTCTTTTCCTTTTTCTTTTGGTGGGTGGGGCTTTAACTTTTGGTAGAAATTTAATTTCATTTAAAAGAGGGGAAAATTGTTTATGTTCTTATACAAAAACAGCCAGAATCTCTGTACAGCTATTTCCCCATGTTGTTTCTTTACCACCACTTGTTTTGCCCTTGCTGATGCGATTGTACGGATGGGTTTTTTTGTCTTGAAATTTTAACGAAAATTCCATAGTTGTTAAAAGGTGTCTGACGATATGAATGTGCTTGATCTTGAACGCGCTACAGGTTGTGTAGGAACTCGCCATAGGAACGCGCTATAAAGTGTTCAAACCGTTCGGATGGAATTGGTTGAATCTTCACAGCTACATTTGGGCCCAATCTGAATTGGGACTAATGCGTATTTAATGATCCAGGAAAACCATTGGAGTTTAAGAACCTTTTTTATATTCCTAATGGTGACGAGTTAATAAGTTCGATGTTTTCCGCTCACTTCCAGGCACTCAATCCACCTGAGGGATATCTGCCGGTAAGCCTACCCTAACGAACGGTGCATTAACAATTGTGAATATGACGAAGAATGCCAAAGTCGCTCCTGAGGAGCCGCCTCCTTATAACAATCCGGGAGTCCCGATGTCTCAGTCCGTCCCGATGTCTCAGTACGGCCCGATGTCTCATGCCGTCCCGATGTCTCAGTACGGCCCGATGTCACAGTCCATGCCGATGTCTCAGTCCATGCCGATGTCTCAGCCTATGATGATGGCCCAGCCCATGATGATGGCCCCGGCCCCGGCCCCGCCCCCACCGCCGGTGGTCGTTAACGTAGCGCAGGCCACCAGTACCGAGGTTACAACTACCACTCACAACGATCGAGGTTTATTCTCCGGGATGTGTTGCTGTCTCTTTAGCTGTCTGTGGACAATCATCTGCTGCTTCTGCCAAGACTAACGCTCCACTCACGACGATTGAGAATAACTTTACTCCTCTACATACGGCAAATTTCCAACTCCTGAGATGCGAGGATTTTTGACAAAATCCCGTTAAAGAGGGTGATCTTCTTAAAAAAAAAAAAAAAAAATAGCTGTTCTTGATTCAGATCGGGAACAGCTAATCATAAAAGTGATCAGGCAAACCCTGAACGAATTTGAAGATGATAATGTTGGAATTAGTCTTATAAGAGGTAGTACTGTTTGCTTTTCTCCAGCTCTTTAGTATTCAAACTTACTGTAGATTCCGACCATCGGTATCTGGTAAAAATTCGGTAAAAATTGCGCATTCGCTCTTACAACATTTGAGTATATAAAACATTTGATCATTTTACTTTATATAAATTGGCGTCCATGTTGCATTATGTTATCAGATGCAGGGATGTTACATCAATTTGGTATAGCTTTGGGTTTCTTATAATTAGTTAGCCACTAAATAAATCATCTGATCATTTTACTTTATTTGTTTGTTTGTTTTTGAAGTTGTGCATAATTTCTCACATATTGAGTCAGTTAATACAATGTATTATGATCAGGAACTCAATTGCACAATTTTTTTTTACAATCTGGGCAGTTTTTTAATGTTTTTTTTTAAGATGCAAATGGGTTTCTGAAAAGATAATTCTTTTTTTTTCTTCAAATGTTTGGCTGAAAACAAGAGATTGCGAAAATATTCGGACTGAGCCCTCGATATGCGGGACGTACGTTCATCTTTTTACACAGCACTGGTGTACAAAGTTAGTTTCCTTTTGTTGTTTTCTTGAAGAATTTTTTGACGTTTTCTTCTTTTTGACGTCCGCCTTTGTTTTGTCCTTTAGGTAACAGAATTTATTTCAAGAGCAAACTGTTTTCTTCATAATGTCTGAGTTTGTAACTTATTTGGTTGTTTTTAAGGACTTGTGGTGTGCTTTTTATTGTTAAAAAAAAATCGTTTGATCCCGTTTCCTCAAAGTAAAAGATTTCTGCACTTTTATCGAGATTTGTGTTACATGTTTTAGTATTGCGCTCAGTGATAGCTTTAACTGTTCTATCGTGCAGTGCTAATTCCTCATATTGCCATAATTACTGTTGTCTATTGTCCTCAGTGTGTCACCTTGATATATTTATAACTTTCGAAATTGTAAAAATATCGATAGTTTGTATATTGTATCTCCTTTCATGGCAATGTACACTAGTCTATCCTTTCCACTTCACAAGCTTTGTAATTTGTATTGTTTGTAAGTTCTTTAAATAATTTTGAACCAAATGAGGGGGAAAACAAGTGAACTAGAAAGATCAATCTGCAGCCATCATCTGACTGTATCATGACCTTTAAAAGAATAACAGTTATTCTAAAAAAAAATGTACTTTATTTGGGCGTGGGTGGGTGCATGATACTTTAAGAGAAAAAAGAGAAAAAATGCCTGAAAATAACGAGACTAATAATAAGTTGAGCAGCATTTTTGTCGCCCTCTATTGGTTCTGACAAAACCAAATGGTTTCATTGCAGTTCAAGTAAATCTGCCATTTTGCAAAGTAATTGTGAGAAATACATAATATTAAGTCAAAATTAAATAGTAGTTCAATTGATTCGTAACATTTTTTTGTGATCATTAAATGTCCACTTTTAATTCACTGGTATTTTTATGCTGTCTTTTCTTTTCTTCAAAATCCATGCTCACGTATCAATGAAGATTTTCGCGTTGCTTGTCATTGGGATTTCTAATTCCGTCAGTGTCCTGTAGACGACGTGAACTTGACTGAAAAGTAATCAATTTTCTCACCAGCATTAAGTTAAACAGTCGTTATCATAGAAAAGTGCTTCTTAGCCAGTTTAGATGACGAAAGAGCTTTATTTTGCAAAAGATACATTTTAATTAATTTTCGTAGTTCATCCCATTTATCAAGCTTAATATGTGAATAAGTTATGTAAACACTTGTTTGAAGAATGTCCCTGTCCACATAGATGAACATTGATATTTGACAACCATTGTGATCATGATATCAAGCTTAAAACCCTAAGTCGCACATCTGCATGCTACTTTGGTAACTACAAATTTAAAAGTACACACAGCATCAATGTATGCTTACGATGACACAGAGTGAGAAAATGATCTCATCTCCAGGAACAGGTGGCGTGTTTAGTTGCTTTTCTACTTAAAACGTCGCTTCAGGTGGTCGCACAGCCAACCAGGCTGCGATCTTGGGGTTGGCAGCAATGCGTTCCTTGAGGGCGCTCAGCTTCGGGCACTTCTCCAGGGTGTTGGCGCCCTTTGATATGTGATTCGCCATGTCAACAGCGGTGAAGAAAAAGAGATCAGCGGCTGTGATCTACAGCGACAAAAACGAACAACATACAGGGGGCAATAATCGATCACTAAGCTGAACTATATTCTTTCGCAAATCTTAGTTTCGCTGGTAGTCTAGCGATGCACGATAAATCCTGTCCAGGAAGCAGGCATGGGATTTATCTTTATACTCAGGATTGTGTGACATCCGGGATTATCTTGTGATTTTTTTTCAGAATAATAATCTTCCAATGAGATTTGTTTTGATTAATATGACTTGGGTGGAATAATATAACGAATACTTCACTACAGTAAATTCACCAAATCTTGTTCTACGAGTGATTGGAGCAATCAAAATCAATTCTTAAGAAATTAATTGTCGGTTTAATAATCGTCTGAGTGGGGGTCATATTTTGGATTTTGATTACCGAGTTTCCAACGAAGAACTCCCCAGCTTGCTCCTGTGCAAGCAACCGCTCCAGAGTCGCGTAGATCGGCGGGACCACATCCTTCAAGAACCTTTCCATTCTTTCTGGCTGGGGTTTGAAAAAATACAGTTTTTCCAGGTTGTTTCCATGTTTCAAAGTATGGAAACCAAGAGCGTATCGAGAATAGTATCTTTGCAGTGCATTAACGTTACCAAACTGCATCCATTCTGCAGCAAAAGACATAGACTTTACTGTTTGAATGTCAATAGTGAAAAACGATGCATTTTCAAGAGTTTAGATTAAATTTTGTGTTCGTTTTGTGGCATCACACGGACAGACGATGAACTCATCTTGCAAAGGCTTCTCAATACATGTTTACATCCCAAGCATGCATGGCCAGCTTCAAATAACTTACCCTGCTTTCTGGAGGCCCGTGGAAGACAACGTTGACTTCCGACCAAATGTCTTCGATCGTGTCGAGTGTTTGGTCTATGAATGCCGCGTCCAGGGATGTCTTGCCATAAAACCCTTGAATAAATGGTTAAAAAAAATCTGAAGGTGTTATTATAACCCAATTTGGTTGAGTATACAAATGAATTTTCTGTGTTTAAGCTTTTGTTATACAGCATGATTATGCAAACTTAGGAAATGTCTCAGTTTACGTTATTGGCAAAGTCCATTTGAGAAATGCCTTGCTAATTTTCACTAAATTCGATCAGAATTTTCTCAATCGAAATTTCAAATTGCAGGGAATCAATGCAATTAATGGAGAATTAAAACACAGCATTGAAGGAATTTAACACTCATATTTAAGTGTCACAACTCACCAAATTCCCTGGCCAGATATCTCAGGATAGCCTTACTCTGACATATCATCGTCCCGTCGACCTCCAGCGACGGCGTTTGCTGGGTAACATAGTCTGATCAACAAAACAAAAACAAATAAATAATAATAATTAGTTCAAGGATAATCAAAATAATTGTTTTGGACTTTTTTCCGGTATTAACTGTCTTTTGATCGGGACGGGTGGTGGTGTATTAGCTCACTCGGTTTTAGCTTTGGCCAATCCGCATACTCGAAGTTCCTTTCTTCATAGTCGACACCAGCTAGCTTGAAAGCCAGACGGATACTTTCACCACGGCCGTTAAAACCCTTGAAGTAGTGAAGTACGTATTTCACCATGGTGGCGTAGAGCACTACACAAGCTATTACCAGACACCAGTTAAAATCGCGGCCACGAAGGTACTTTGTAGCAGCGCTACCTTGCACACCTAAAGCAGCAATGACGATGATATTTCGAGCAATATTAAATAAATGATAGCAATTTATATTTGCTGTTGATTTAGGTAATCTAACAAGGGTCAAGGTATAAAATGTACAAAAGGTGGCGGAGTAGACTGGTCATATAGACGGCAGTAAATACGCAATGAAGTATTTGGGTAGCAAAGGTACATCCGATAGTCAAACAACCAATAAACTCTACGAAACGGAGTATCATTGTGCCCCATGATTTACTGCCATTCTATAGCAACCGAAATTGCAGCCCTATAGTGCGCCTTAAAATAGTAAAGTTAGAGTACGCACATGTACATCACCATGGATGACAGGGGCCCTATGGGCTCCGTGCACTAATGAAGAGGGCGCCCTTTTACCAAGCAACGACGACCCAAGGGCGGGACATTTCGCTGGTTGACGCGCACGGTTCCTTGTGTGTGACGCACGTACACCAGTGAATTTGTACCATGTTTTTACACGGCACGCAGTGGCCGCGCTTGGCGACAAAATATTGCAGTCAGGCAAGATGGCGTCGTTCGGTCACACCAAACTGTACTTTATCTGTCGGTGAGGGGGCACTTGTGAACAGAGCGGTATCGTCCGCCTCTCAAGTTACTTCAAAATGGATGCATATTTTAGTTCGTATGTTTCACAAAAAGACTTAAAGTGAATATTTCGGGTTTTGTCCATTGTTTCTTTCACACACAAAAGCAGAGTGAGGGAAAAACACGAACTAAAATATAACTGAATTAAAAAACTGAAGCCAGACTGTACGTATAGCAAATGGTGAGTGTAATAGAAAATGAACGTGTAAAACGTCTTTCAATAATGTTTAAGTGTGGCACGCCGTTATTACCACTGTAAATGTGATATTTTATTTATTACATGTAATTATTTTATTATCAGGCACACAATAAAACAGACATTACATGTACATAAAAAACAGGCCAGAAGATTGCCAAGAAGCGAACCAAATCATGATATAAAAGGCTCTCCAAGCAACAACGAAAAATACAAACATCAAACACTTCGAATTCACACAATAAATCGATTATATTTATCTTATAAATCGATCTATATTTATGCGCGTGATACAATTTAAGTTTACATTTTGTTGCTGCTGTTCCTGTTGTTGACCTTTATTCTCAACAAGCAAACAGAACCAAAACCTAATGTTACACTGATTAGCGATCAACGATAAGAAACTTTAATCTTTGCAGATTCAACAATTTTCGGATCAAATGTCAAAAACGCCCCTTGGGTTTTTTGGGGAAAAACGAGGGGCTGTTTACCAACAGTCTTGTTGGTCGTAAACAGGATCTCTTGGTTGTTATGCCAGCACAGTTTCCCTTCCACAGTCTAGGACTACTCTAAATCTGGCTGGTTGCTTCGTCTTAAGGTATGTAGAGTTTCTTCCTTTTTGGGCGAGTGAGGCTTTAACTTTTGGTAGAAATTTAATTTCATTTTAAAGAGGGAAAAATGATTTATGTTCTTATACAAAAACAGCCAGAATCTTTTCTCTGTACAGCTATTTCCCCATGTCGTTTCTTTACTACCACTTGTTTTGCCCTTGCTGATGCGATTGTACGGGTGGGGGTTTTTGGTCTTGAAATTTTAACGAAAATTCCATAGTTGTTAAAAGGTGTCTTACGATATGAATGTGCTTGATCTTGAACGCGCTACAGGTTGTGTAGGAACTCGCCATATGAACGCGCTATAAAGTGTTCAAACCGTTCGGATGGAATTGGTTGAATCTTCACAGCTACATTTGGGCCTAATCTGAATCGGGACTAATGCGTATTTAATGATCCAGGAAAACCATTGGAGTTTAAGAACCTTTTTTATATTCCAAATGGTGACGAGTTAATAAGTTCGATGTTTTCCGCTCACTTCCAGGCACTCAATCCACCCGAGGGATATCCGCCGGTGAGCCTACCCTAACGAACGGTGCATCAACAATTGTGAATATGACGAAGAATGCCAAAGTCGCTCCTGAGGAGCCGCCTCCTTATAACAATCCGGGAGTCCCGATGGCTCAGTCCGTCCCGATGTCTCATGCCGTCCCGATGTCTCAGTACGGCCCGATGTCTCAGTCCATGCCGATGTCCCAGCCCATGATGATGGCCCAGCCCATGATGATGGCCCCGGCCCCGGCCCCACCACCACAGCAGGTGGTCGTTAACGTAGCGCAGAACACCAGTACCCAGGTTACAACTACCACTCACAACGATCGAGGTCTCCTCTGCGGGATGTGTTGCTGTCTCTTTAGCTGTCTGTGGGCAATCATCTGCTGCTTCTGCGATGACTAACGCTCCACTCACGACGATTGAGAATAACTTTACTCCTCTACATACGGCAAATTTTCAACTCCTGAGATGGGAGGATTTTTGACGCAATCCCGTTAAAGAGGGTGATCTTCTTTAAAAAAAAATGCTGTTCTTGATTCAGATCGGGAATAGCTAATCATAAAAGTGATCAGGCAAACCCTGAACGAATTTGAAGATGATAATTTTGGAATCAGTCTTATAAGAGGTAGTACTGTTTGCTTTTCTCCAGCTTTTTAGTACTCAAAATTACTGTAGATTCCGACCATCGGTATCTAAAAATTGCGCATTCGCTTTTACAAAATTTGAGTATATAAAACATCTGATCATTTTACTTTATATAAATTGGCGTCCATGTTGCATTATGTTATCAGATGCAGGGATGTTACATCAATTTGGTATAGCTTTGGGTTTCTTATAATTAGTTAGCCACGAAATAAATCATCTGATCATTTTACTTTATTTGTTTGTTTGTTTTTGAAGTTGTGCATAATTTCTCACATATTGAGTCAGTTAATACAATGTATTATGATCAGGAACTCAATTGCACAATTTTTTTTTACAATCTGTGCAGTTTTTTATGTTTTTTTTAATAGATGCAAATGGGTTTCTGAAAAGATAATTCTTTTTTTTTTCTTCAAATGTTTGGCTGAAAACAAGAGATTGCGAAAATATTCGGACTGAGCCCTCGATATGCGGAACGTACGTTCGTCTTTTTACACAGCACTGGTGTACAAAGTTAGTTTCCTTTTGTTGTTTTCTTGAAAAATTTTCTGACGTTTTCTTCTTTTTGACGTCCGCCTTTGTTTTGTCCTTTAGGTAGCAGAATTTATTTCAGGAGCAAACTGTTTTCTTCATAATGTCTGAGTTTGTAACTTATTTGGTTGTTTTTAAGGACTTGTGGTGTGCTTTTTATTGTTAAATAAAAGCGTTTGATCCCGTTTCCTCAAAGTAAAAGATTTTTGCACTTTTATCGAGATTTATGTTACATGTTTTAGTATTGCGCTCAGTGATAGCTTTAACAGTTCTATCGTGCAGTGCTTATTCCTCATATTGCCATAATTACTGTTGTCTATTGTCCTCAGTGTGTCACCTTGATATATTTATAACTTTCGAAATTGTAAAAAATATCGATAGTTTGTATATTGTATCTCCTTTCATGGCAATGTACACTAGTCTATCCTTTCCACTTCACAAGCTTTGTAATTTGTATTGTTTGTAAATTCTTTAAATAATTTTGAACCAAATGAGGGGGAAAACAAGTGAACTAGAAAGATCAATCTGCAGCCATCATCTGACTGTATCATAACCTTTAAAAGAATAACAGTTATTCTAAAAAAAAAAATGTACTTTATTTGGGCGTGGGTGGGTGCATGATACTTTAAGAGAAAAAAATGCCTGAAAATAACCAGACTAATAATAAGTTGAGCATCACTTTTGTCGCCCTCTATTGGTTCTGACAAAACCAAATGGTTTCATTGCAGTTCAAGTAAATCTGCCATTTTGCAAAGTAATTGTGAGAAATACATAATATTAAGTCAAAATTAAATAGTAGTTAAATTGATTCCTAACATTTTTTTTGTGATCATTAAATGTCCACTTTTAAGTCACTGGTATTTTTATGGTGTTTTTTCTTTTCTTCAAAATCCATGCCCACGTATCAATGAAGATTTTCGCGTTGCTTGTCATTGGGATTTCTAAATCCGTCAGTTTCCTGTAGGTCGGTCTTCTTTCTTTAGTATTGCGCGAGTTTCTCTTGTGCTGAGATACGAGCTTTCAGTGCCGTTCAAGTTAGCTTTGGGTACTTCTCCAGGCCCCTGTCGAAAAATTTACATCCTTCCACCGTCTCTGTCGAGGTGTGAAAATTCAGGTCCGCCAGAGAAATCTGGGGGAAAACTGTCAACATTTTTACAACAAATACATGTATATGTGCACCATTTCGTCTGTTATTTTTCATTCAAATTCTCGAAACCGTTGAATCCTGTGTTGGCTGGTGTTACTTTAAACCTTTCAGATTTTTAGTAATGGGAAAAATAATGAAATCATTCTTCACGCTTACACTACGAAATTGAGGTTGTTAGTAGCCTAATTAGAAAAACGAAGATGTAAAACGCGTTAATAATTTCCTCTTTCAATAATTTCAATATATTCAATATTTTTAATATTTCACTGTAAACGTGGTGTCTTACAGTTTGAGCTTTCGCGTACATGTACTTTATTTTCGTACATTTTGTATTTGCTGTTCTTGGTGCCGACCTTTATTCTCCAATACCAAACAAACGCAAACAACCAAAACCTATTATTATGCTAATCAGTGAATGCCAGTGGGAAACTTTGGGGGTTTGGTTTTTTTTTTTTAACAGATTCCTCAATCTTGGGGGCAAATGTCAATCCCTGTCTAAATATAATGCATTGCACTTTGTTACTCCCCGGGTTTTGTTTTTCGGTTTTGTTTTTTACGACAAAAAAACATGTATACTTTGTTTTCATTCAATTCTCAAAACAGTTGAATCATGCGTTGGATCATGTCATCGGATTTTTAGTAATGGACAAAATAATGCCTTCATTCACCACGCTTACACTACCGAATTGAGGGTGTTTGTAATTAGAAAAAACGTATAAAAGGTGTTATGACTACGTCCTTTTTCGATAATTGAGAAGTGTGACACACCGTTAATATTGCACTGTAAACATAATATTTTATAGTTTGCGCCTGCGCGTACATTTACTTTATTTTGTCACATTTTGTATTTGCTGTTCTTGATGCTGACCTTTATTCTCCAATTACCAAACAAACGCAAACAACCAAAACCTATTATTATGCTAATCAGTCAATACCAGTAGGTCATGTTTAGTTTTTTTGTTATTTTACAGATTCCTCAATCTTGGGGGCGAATGTCAATCCCTGTCTAAATATAATGCATTGCACTTTGTTACTCCCCGGATTTTGTTTCTCGGAAAAACGAGGGGCGAATGTATCAAATGGACGCTAGGCGTAAACATTATACAAATGTAGCTGTCTCTTGAACTTGGTGTGAGAACGGTGTCCTTCTTCAACGTAGGATCAATAACCATTTCAAATCAGACAAGTGTGCTTAAAAGGTAGGGAATTTCTCCTTTTTTGGGGGTGCAATTTTATGGATTGTTTTGGCATCATTTTTTCCCTTGTTAACTTGTAAAGGATCTGAGTAGACTCGAACGAAATTTTGTCTGGTGTATATTTGTAATTTCTGAAACTATTCGAACTTTAGGACCTTTTTACCATAGTAAATAAATTTTGTCCCAAGTCAATGACTCACCAGGTCGGGGTTTGTCTCCGACATCCGTTGCATGAAACGACTAGGAATATTTCTTTTCCCCTGGATTGGATGCCAGTCCATCGCCAATAACTAATCCCCAAGCGACGTAGCTAGGTGTAAACTGATAGGGGCAGCTGGGTGCGCACCAATAATTATTTATTTCAAGGGGGGCACTGAAGGCAACTGATATATTGATTTTGTGCTATTCAAGATTTTTAAATAGGGGGAACCAGAGGGGGCACGGACCTCCGCTGGGGTGCACGTTCCCCTCTGTGCCACGAAATCAGGCAAGGACTGAATACTCAATGCATTTACGGACCCGGGCGGGATTCGAACCTGGGCCATAGAGGTGGAAGGTGAATAAAAGTACCAATGGCCAACCTATCTCCCCTGTGGCAACCTCATTGCATTCTCTTATCAGCAAAGATTCTGCATAAGTTAAAACTAGGCTTATTCCCACGTGTCTGCCACTTAATTGCTGAGACTAGTATCTCATCCAAATTTATCTGACAGTGGTGCACATTTCACGAGAAGTCGAGATAACCAGGTCGTGTGGAAAGAGATTTTGACGAAGATGGCTTGGAATGCTAGAGTCTATCCATCAGCCCCTTACGACGACTTTGACAACGTGCCACGGCCGCCCCAATACAATCTGAGAGCGCAGGAACAAGCGTTCCCAAACCAGACGCAGCCCGTCACCCAGCAGCTAAACCAGACCCACAACCAGATCATGGATAACGACTGCTGCAACACCGGCACCTGCTGCAACTGCTGTGAACGTCCTGGCGGCGACGATCACCAGTGCGCCTATATCTGCCTCACGTGCGCTTGCTTGACTCTATTGATGCTATGCTTTAACCAGTGTAGTGACACCGAGCAGAGACGATGAAAAGTCGGGGTGAACTAAGTTGCCTTCTGTTAAGTTACATCAGTGGGGTATAGTAATTGGTTTCTCATTGGTTAGCCACGAAATATAGCAGTGCTTATTTTCTTTCAACCAATTGTGCATATCTTCTAGGATATCAAGAAAGTTGATATGATGCACCATATTTAGGATCTCAATTGTCAAACTTTTTTACAATCTGGGAAATTGTTCATGATTTTGTTCTTCGAATAGATGCAAATGGTTTGTGACAAGATCTTTCTTTTTCTTTCAAATGTTTGGTTAAAAGAAAGGTTTACGAAAAATTCGGACTCGAACCCTCAATATGAGGGGACGTACCTTCGTCTACAATCTTAAATATACAGCCCTGGCATACCAAGTTAGTTTCCATTTTTTGTTTAGTAGAGGATTTTCTTGATGTCTTCTTCTTTTTAATGTCTGCCGTCGTTTCGTCCTACACAGAAGAACTTCTTTCAGGAGAAAACTGTTTTTCCTTTTAATTTTTGAGTTCGCAACTTACTTGGATAATTATAAAGACTCGCACGGTTTGCTCTTCATAAAAACAAATCATTTGATTCCGATTAATTTATTTTTGTTTTAGGATAAATATTGTCAAACTATGTAATCTGGCCCTGGTTATTTGACAAAACTCTTCCCATTTTTGATTTTGTGATCGCTAAAACCCACAAATTTGTAAATACGTTGCTGTACAGAATTACACTGACCAGTGATCCGAGAGTAAGCGATACACTTAATTTGTTAATTCATAATTATTACAATAATTGAATTATATACCAATGGATTTCCGCACTTTTATCGATATTTT